GTTTCTCTGTAGGCCTCCCCCCCCATAACCCCTCTCCCAATGCCACCACCTCCCACCCAGCACAGCCTCAGCTCTTCCCAGTGCATGGCTGGAGGCGGGGGTTGAGCTGGGGCTGCACCGGGTGGGCAGCAATGCTGGGAAGGTTGGTTGGGAGTAGGGGTGGTGGTGGCGGAGGGGGTATGATAAAGTTTTGGGCAGCTGCGGCCCCCCCTGTAGCCTGCCTTCCAGCACCGCTGTCACCTGCCTCAAGCCCAACCCCTGCTGAGAAGACCCCGGTGCAGCTCTGGTTCCAGCTCGCAGCCCACCCCCCTGCCCCACGCAGATCCAGGGACACACACCATCCCCACCCCCCTGCACTCCCCAGATGAGGGGCTCCATCCCATGCCCTGCCCCACCCCGGCTGGGCAGTGCCTGCTCAGCCCCTGCCCCACTCCCTCCCTCACCACAACCCCCGCTCCTCGCATCCTTTCTCTCCCCTTCCACCACAATGGACTTACCAGCTGAACGCAGCTCTCCAAGCTGCCGGGCTGTGCTCCTTGCTGTCTGCATGCTGCACTGTGGCTGCAGGTATCCACGAGCATTTATTAGGACTGCGAAATTTTGACAGATGTATGTTTTGAAGTGTTTTGATCTTGAAACAGCAAAATAAAAACGAAACAAAAGGCTTTGAAACGAAATGAGGGCACTCAGTGTTTCAAAGCCGGACTTGCTGCAGCTAAACAGAAACTAAGGAGAGTGAGAGGGCAGAGGGGGGGAAGCACGGCTCTGATTATTGACATCTATCTTCCTGATTGCTTCCCCCAGCTCTTCCAGGGGGCCACAGCCCCCCAGTCTGTGTGCTGGGTTTCAGCAGGCTGCTCCTGAAACTGCAGCAGCAGCCTGCTGAAACCCACCACGCCAATCCGGGGGTCCACGCCCCTGGGAAGTGCTGGGGAATGGAACCGGGAGCTGGGGGAATGTTTAGGTCCTTCAGCATTCCCTCAGTTCCTGGTTGGATTCCTTAGCTCCCCCATCTTTCCCCCAGCTCTTCCCAGGGGGTGTGGGCCCCCGGATGATGTGGGATGACAGCAGGATGCCACTGCTGCCTGGGACTAGCGCTGGGCGCAGCACATGCCAAGTGCCGTGAAGACTGGTGCTGCCATTGGCCCCAGCTGGCGGCAGCAGCAGTATGCTGTCATCCTGCGTGCAGATCTGGGGGTGTGTACCCCCCAGGAGGGCTGCAGGGCTGTGCCAGATTCCTCCTGGGGGGTGCGAGCCCCCGGATCTGCATGCACGATGACAGCAGGCTGCTGCTGCTGGCAGGTGATACAAGTTTTGCATTGAACAGTTTGAGGTGCAGTTTCCCATAAACCCCTGCACTTATCTCCTTGAAACTTGGCAGGCTTCATGCCCTCAGAAGGGGCTACCATCCCTACAATGTTCATCCGAATCAGGCAAGAAATGACAAAGGTACAGGCATTTTCATGATTCCCCATTATAGCTTATGGGTGAAATGTCGAAACAGCAAAACAGTCTCGATGAAACAAAATGGAACAGTGCTTCGAAATGCTGAAATGAAACATTGTCCCTTCGAAACAAAAGTCAAAGCAAAACGGTGCTGTTTCACACAGCCCTAGCACTTACTGGCCAAATTTTTGGCTGCATGGGGCCGATTTCCGATGCAGCCAATTTTCTTTGTATCAGTACCAATCCAACATCAGACCAATGCATCAGTGCACCTGTAGAAAATCAACTCCCTGGTCTTTCCTACTGAATCTATATTTAGTTCTGGGAGTTCTCCAACAACAAGCAGATGTTGAAATGGAAAGTATTCTTAAGGGTGGTTTCGAATGAGGAATGTACATCAGTGGTACTCAAGCTTCTGTCCTGTGGGCTGGAGGAATGATAAGGTATTATTAGTTTACTGGCCTGATCCAGTGCAGAATTGATGTGTGGGCCCAGACCCGCGTACTGATTTCATGCACAGCCCAGTGTCCCATGCCAGCTCAACCCTGTGTGCTGGATCCAACTGCACTGTGTGCTGCCAGTCAAGCACACGGGGCCACGTCATCCAGCCTGCAGGACTCATCACGCATTCAGAAGTATGTCAGGAGGGGAGCTGCAATGAACACTGCCAGATTTGTAATGCTCTCCTGCAGCCAAATTTTTGGACTGGTTAGAAGACCTAGGGGCTGGACAATGTGGCTTCACAGGCTGGAGCATGAGCACCACTGCTATAGAAAAATAAGCTTGAACTTGATTTAAAATGGGAACATTAACCATAGGAAAACAATTTCCCAGTACATCAAATGGATAATATCAATCTAACAGGACAGATAAGATGAACATTTTACCAATCTAAGATGGACATAGTTTCTTATTTTTGTGGTGTATATTGACACCATGGCTAAGAATATCACTACATTTAGAGCTGCTTTTTTGGAAATTGCAATTTAATTTTTTTTTTTTTTTATGGAGTCTTAAGGTGAAATCCTCTTGGCTTCTTCAGCTGAAATCCTGGGTAGCTTAGCCCTGTGGTCCTACTCTGGAGGTGGCTAGTGACAGGTAGACAAGGAGTGGCCAACGTGATCTGTGATTTGTAAAGTTCAGCTCAGTACAAATAATATTTGTATCTGTATATCATGTTGAATACACTGCATTTGTAGCTTGTGTTCAGGTTTGTGAAGAAGTATACTTTCTCCCCCTTCAATTTTCTTCTGTCTTTGTTCTGAGGATGTGAATTTTGTGCACATTGTATGACAAGAACACTGCTTGGCTTCAAACACTTGTCACTGGCTTGTGAGACTTCTATAGTTTTGAAAGACACTGGAAACTTATTGTATTTTGTAAACACTGAAAAGTTATTGTACCTTTTTTATTGTGCCCACTTATTTCCTCAGATATGTTCTGAGTATAATACATTGAGCTATAGTGAAAGAGCTATCTGTAAGGATTGTAAAATGACTTTTTCATTTCCTTTTGTGTTAGCACTTTCATAGTGCTTTTGACACTAAAATGATTGAACTGCCTCTGACAACATGGAACTGCCTCTCTTTCATGGTGAAAGGGACTTGGATGTTTTAATACTGATTTTAATCAGCAGTTGAAGCCTGTCTGATGGGAAAGGGCACTGATTGCTAGTACTTAGACAACACCTTATGCAAAGGAAAATGGGGGGCGGAGGGTGGGGACACAGACTAAAGAGAAGATAGAGAGATTGTTTTCTCCTTTGTGGTGGTGTTTGTTTTTATCCTGTTTTTAAAAGACTGAAATACCCAATTCTTGGCAAACTCCATCTAGTGCTGCATCCACAAGGTTACTTTATAGATCCTCACTCCTGGGTTTCATGCCTTATGCTGGGAAACTAGCAGGCTACCTGCTGTGGTTGGTCCAGCAAACAGCAGCACATTCAGCACACTGTATTTTTAATGGTTTCAGAATTGATAGCCTGGGTTTACTCTTGAACAAAGGTGTGAGGTTTTTTTTTTCCAGACAAGGTTCTTTGGGTAAATCTCTTTTTTTTATTAGACCAACTCAAATAGTTGGAAAAAATTCTTCTTTGCAAGCTTTTGGGTATAACTACCATTCGTCAGGCTGAGGAAGCACCTGCAGCTGGTGTGTGCACTTCCTGGATGGAATGAAGAGTAAAGAAGCCAAGGGCTGGTATGCATGCAAGTAAGGCAGTCAGTGAAGATATAAATTGAGGAATTGGTGGGGTGGGTGGGTGGAGGGCAGGGAATGAACGTAGCTGGTAAGTAGTGGAGAGGTACATTCATTACCAGCTACATTCTTTTGCCCCCCACCCCTTGCAACATGTCTGTTACCCACTGACTTCTCAATTTACATCTTCACTGATTGCCTTCCTTGCGTGCATACCAGCCCCTGGCTTCTTTACTATTCATTCCATCCAGGAAGAGCACACACCAACTGCAGGTGCTTCCTCAGCCTGACAAAGGGTATCTATACCCAAAAGCTTGCAAAGAAGAATTTTTCCAACTATTTGAGTTGGTCTGATAAAAGATATCACATTTACCCAAAGAACTTTTCTGCCTATGTCCTTAGACCAACATGGCTACAACCTATACCCCTGAAGTCGTCCGTCTCCCCCCGCCCTTACTTTTCCTGGCTATATTTTGCAGTTCATGTGGCCAGGCTTCTTTTTTACTTGTCCAATATAGTTTTGACGGGTGCTGTCAGAGGTTTTTCTTAAAACATCTAAAATATCCTTTCATAACTCTGCTGAAAGAAAACTGTTTTGTAACTGGCCTGTTCCATTATCTTTTAGCCCCATTCGGATTTTTATTGTAGATAGTAGCTATGTAGGCAAATGGGATAGCTAATTATAGTCCTGTAGTTACTGCCATAATTGCATGATTCAGAGTAGAAATGTTAATCAGGAGCCTGGAAGAGGTGACTATTTCAGAGCATTACAGAATATATACTGCCATCTATTTGGTAAAGAGGTGAAGGAAGAATCTGATATAGAATGGCAGCTTGTTTTAGATTAAATTAATTGAAAAGGAAAAAGGCAGAGCTTCTTGTGTTCGGAATCCTGAAACCATGTGTTTGGTCAGCTTCTGTAGAAGCACTGGGTACTGTGGAGGATTCTGGGTGATGGGATGAATTAATGTTGTTATAGTTGGTGTTGTAGAAAGTTAAACCCATTGATGCATTCATGTATAAATATAGTGATTTATATTATTATATCAGCTTGCTATTGTACCTTCAGTCTCAGATGCAACTGCATAAGTTCTAAAGCATGCAAATGTCATAACTAATTGGCTACCTTGTGCTGCCAATGAGTGTATTGCTGTATATAATAATGTAAGATGTACTGCCACCCCCAAAGATCTAATAATCTGAGTCAGGAGGAACAGGTGATGAGTCTGGAAAAGGGAGGGTGAGGAAAACGAGCAAAGATTTTTCGAAGACATGGATTTTTGTTTGACAAATTGTGCTTTTGGCACGTAGGAAGTGGGAGGTTATTCCAAACACATTGGGTAACACTGAAGAAGGCGTGAAGCTGAGACTAGGAGGAGAGGAAAGGAACAATAAATAGGAGGAGGAAGACGTAAGTGGGAAGAAAGTGGAATCGGAGCAGAGATGCAGGTGGATTCAGAGTATATAAGAACTAGAATTTGATGAAATCTTCAGTGATCACTCTAGATCGTTGGGTAGAAGACCTGTCCCTAATTTTCTTTGATTCCACTTCCAAGTATTATATTTTTGTTTTAGAGTGAAGATGCTATTAAATCTGAAAATGATGAGGCTGATGATATGCCAGAGATCCAAGAGACGGTACAGGTTATGCCAGGCAGTAAGTTACTGTGGAGGATAAATTCTAGACCTCCGAACTCATCGCAGGTAATGCCTTCAATCTGTCAAAATATTCTGTGGGTATTACTAGAACGTTCAAAGGAAACCCTGTAGATCATTGCGTCTTTATAGGCAGGCTCAGAAGAGCCCAAAATATCATCCTTTAAATCAAGAAAATGGTAGGCAAGTTTTCTTAAAGGGCATTTTATTTTTATGTTCATTTCCAAATAATCTGGAAAACTAAAAATGTGAATATGTAAGAGTCTAAGAATTGGAGAGAACCCATCATGAGCAACAAGTTTTCTGCAACCTCTGAAGTGAGGACATGTAAATCATCACAGTGCTTTCCCTTGCTGATATGTGCAGCACAGTTTAAAAATGAAAGGTGGGAATTTTCAAAAGCCCTTTGCAATTGGGCTAACATTGCTTTTGCTGTCCTCAGCGGGAATAAATTTAGTGTAAGGATTACTTTTGAAAATTCTGTGGTAACAGCTTAGTGTTAGGAATCAAAATGTCATTACTTTAATAACGTGATTTTATCTTTACTCTTTCTGAAGATGTACAATTTCACCAGTTTTGCTGTAAGTCTCAATGAGCTGGAAAAGGGTATGGAAGCAATATTAGCTCCCACTGACTGTCGGCTGCGTCCAGATATCAGGAGCATGGAAAATGGTGACCTGGGTATGTGCTATTTTTGGAGGGTCTGTGCTTAATTCTTTTTTCTTTGTACCCCATTTCTCAGTACGTTTTTTCTACACATACTGCTTAGATGGGGTCCGAGGAGAACACTTTGGTGTTTTTGTACTTTAACAAGAACATGTACCACAAATGCTTTTCCTTGCTTTAAGGCATTTGGATTGTATTTCCCTCCCATGTTTCTTCTGTGTATATTTTGCAACGTAACCAATCCGTTTTTAAATTTCTGCTAGATCTGGCCAGTAAGGAGAAGGAGAGATTAGAAGAGAAACAAAGAGCTGCTCGCAAGGAGCGTGCAAAAGATGAAGCAGAATGGCAGACGAGGTAACACTGAGAGGAAGGGAAAGAAAGATGGCATGGGGTTAATACTTGAAATCGTTCAGTTGTATATAAAACTACACGTTCTGTCTTTGCCTGGCAACACAATGTGCAGAATCTGCTAAAAAGGATGTTTAAATAATGTAGCACAAACCAAAATTTTAGACTTCATTTCCAAAAGAACCATCTTTCTGTAAATAGAATTCATGCTCAAACTTGTCATAAGATGCCAAGGGAATTGCTTAATACAGATTACATTGAATAAAACATAAAACATGGGGGTATCCTCAAGTTATTTTAAGAGATGCAGACAGCTGTGGATGGTGGCCCTCAGTGCAAGCTTTACTGTGTAGTGCTTACAGCATTAGTGAAATTCGGCCATCTCCATGCCAGCGGGAAGCAGATCACTACAAAGGGCATGTAAGCCACATGGCTAACTCCTGTGATTTAACCGTCTCAGAAATAGTAATAATACTTTTCAGGTGTTACAGCTGCTAGGTGCTTTTGCCGAGGATGGCCCACCACCACCCAGTCTCTTTGAGGCTCCCTCCTTAAAACACATTTTATTCATTCAAATTAATTTAAACACAGCGATGTTCTCCTACTGAGCCCATGTGCCCAAAGCCTGGAGGGTTTTCATTCTGCATGCCCCACTGTTCTGGGGCCAGTCATGGGAGCTTCCCTCCTGCAGCTGTCCTTTTCACTGAGCTGTGACCTTGACTGGCAGCTGGCTCCTTTGCTGGGTTAGATAACTGAGCAGGGATGGCAGCCCCCTGTGCCACAGGCATAGCCCACCCCAGCACAGGCACTTTCCTAGTCTAGACACCTTTTTGTTTACACAGGTGGGTAGTCTCCCTTTAACAATGTTATTAATGGGGCAGCGAGACCTAAAGAGGTGAAGTGACTTGCTGCAGGGCTTCACGGCGGCAACTTTGGGAAAAGAATCACTCCCCAAACCTGAGATGTTTCTGCCGTGCATAGTCCCTTCAGTTCACTCTTGATTGTTAAAAATGGCTGGGAAATATGTAATGAGAGCGAACAAGCCAGGAGTTTTAGATGATTCTGAAAGGGGAAGAAAAGCTAATTAAGGTTAAGAGTGTGCTTACGGAATTTGATTACTTTTGACAGCAGGTTTAGCTTTAGCATGCAGGGGCAGATGTAAGCACTGAAAGGCTTCATGGACACTATCCCAGCTGTAAGCAGTGGTTAGGCCTCATTTATGGAAAGACGCTATATTTCAGATTTGAAAATCGTCTGCCTTAACTGTTAATACTTAGCAGCAGGTTTTTTCTTCTTTAAAAGTACTTGTCAAATTACAGTAAGCATTTGAAATTGAAGAATCAAATTACAGAAGGCTCTCGAAACTGCTTACAGGCCTTCTGCTGTTTACTTGTGCTCAGATTCCTGATACTGTTATGCAAGGGGCACATCGGCAGAAGAAACGAGGCTGTTTTTGTACCCAGGAGGTTTTTTTTTTTGTGGCTTTTTAAAAAGCAAATCTTTGAAGCGAGAGGAGTCAGTTCTTTAAAGGTATAAGAACAGTTAGAAACTAAACTGCTCTAGAGGTTCAGTGGAAATTATCTCTATCCCATGCGTGCCTTTGAAACCCTCTTCCAGGATGTATGTCATTAATTTCAACGGTGTATGTCAGTCAGCAGCCTGAATGTGAGCATCTGTTCATGTGCAAACATAGCACATCCATTTCTTCTGCATTTGGACACTGCTAGAAACTAAGGGGAATGGTTTTTTTGTGAAAAACTGATTTGATAATTTAAAATTAAAACATAAAAATATTGCTTGGGTTTTCTATCTGAATGCCATTGGGAGTGATGAAATCCATATTATACTTTATTTTTAGTACACAGGGCTACTGAAGTGTAAGGGCTTTGGTAAATATTTCTTTCAGAATGTAATGTTTTCATTTTTCTAAAGTACCTAATGGGAAATGATATTTCAGGGCTGAGGAATGTAGGTATCCTGTTGCATTTCTTTGTAAAAGCAAAAAAAAATCTCTCATTTTTCTCTTTTTTAATTACTTTCTTTACTTTTTACAGATGGTTTCAACAAGGCACTAACCCATACACAGGGACTTCAGACTGGTTGTATTCAGGTGGCTACTTCGATAGAAATTTCTCAGACTGTCCAGATATATACTGAAAATTCTGAACCTATCACTCCATCTCATCTGGACATCTAATTCTTAGAATTCACTCTAAGCCAGTTAATCTGGTTTTGTTAGTAGCCAAAACCAGCTTTTCTAAAGTAAGTTTTAATGAAAATTGTATCGTTTACCAATCAAGGATTTAATTGTCATTAATTTTTGACTGCCAAATATTTAAATGCTGTTATGTTCCCTCCATAAAGCTGCACTTAAATCATCATGTGTTCACTAATTTTTAAGGGGATGTGGGTTTTGGTTTTTGTCCTTGCGTTGTGTTGTGTTTTAGTTTGGTTTTGTCAGAAATGGCTGTAGCCATTAATGCTCACAGCACCCTTTTTAATGATACAATTTAATAAAATAGCAGAGCGATCCTTGTTATTTAGTACAGTGAGAGAGAGTATACATTCAGAACTTGGAACAATGGTGACTAATCTGTACAGTACAAACATTATCAAAACTGCCACAGGCAATATTCCCTGCAAAGAAGTGTACGTGAAATACTCATCTAGTATGTTCGTGCTTCAGAGGTCAGAGCTTTTGGTCTCCAGCCCATCGGGCTAAGAACAAGTACAGTTCCTGGTCTCTTTCTCAATACAGCTCAATGAATGAAAGACTTGAAAAAATATAAAACATGAAATATTAGCTTCTCAAACCGCAGTAAGTCGGTTGCTCTGAATTTTTCAGCCTTTGGACACTGTGAACATTTAAACTATAGATCTGTAATAAGATTGCAGAAACATAGGCTTGGAGATAGGAAGGGTGCATTAAAAATTTTGCTTATCTGAAGTCAGATGTTACTCTTTAAAATAAAAACAGTTTCATAGACATTTGTAGAAATGTCAAAGTGGATACAGCATAAGATATTTGGTATTGCTTGCTGCCACTTGGAGGCTTAGTTCTCCACTACTTTTGGCAGCTTTAGCACTATATATGCTTCTAGACTTAAGTTTTTCTTTGAAGCACTTAGTATATAATTATATCTAGAGTGGTCATGTTTGTTTGGGGGTTCTGTTTGGTTTTGTTTGCATGTTCTGAAGCATTATTGGGTCACATCTGGTTGAACGTTGTGGAAAAAACATTTTTAAAGCGATGTGGCATAACTATACCTATTAGAAATATTTTAAATCCTCTGTAAGCACGTGCAGTCAGTAAGAGTGGATTTATTTTCGTTTGCATCGACTGTCAAAGCCATATAATATTGGAACTGGCTGAAGTCAGTTTATTGTATCTATAAATTTATGGAGTTTATTTTCAAAGTGGTGCATTTCTGAGATCGGGGCGTTGAAAAATTAGGCTTAGTGATGAAACCAGCTTTAGTAATTGCTGGTTCTTTTATGAAAGCTTTTAATTTAGTAACCAGTAGAAACTGGAGAGTGGCTACATTGCTGCTAAGTTTACAGTAATTCACAGACTGCTGATGTTAAGCAACAAGCAACTCCAAGTATTCATGAGAAGAATCAGTGTGGTCGATGCCTTCCAGATGCATTTGAGGATTCATACCTGTGACTTCATCCAAAGACAAGGTTTTGAACTGTATCTGCCAGCTAGAAGAAACATTAAAAAAACAAAACCCCAAGAAAAGGTGGTACTTTTTTTTTCATCTGAAATTATGGACCTGAAGATGAGAAACTGGATATTTGTTACATTTTAGTCATAGTTTGTTCATCTTTTTTCCAATGAAAAAGGTCAAGGCAATAAAAGTTCAACTCTGAAATACATTCATGCCAACTGTATCCCGCTGTCAGAAATCAGAGTTTGTGTTGACCTTGAAGTCTCTTGGACAACCAGACTAGTTGATGGTACTGTGCCTAGAGGTAAAATAATATTCACTTCTGCTTATGAGAGCATTAAGCTTCTGCTTTTCATAAGGCATAACTAATCTATATGAGCAGCTCAGAAATTACTTCCTGTCAAATTTTGTGTAACTCTTAAATCTAAAAGATTAATATTTTCAATACTAGCAGCCCCTTCACTTTTCTTTGCAAGCAAGGGAGTGCTGGGCATGGCTACCAGTGAAAACAGTGAAGGGATTCATTCACATTTTAAGCTAGTTTTGTAATGTCTCATGAGTGAAACTAGTTTAAGCTAAATGCTTATGTTTTTTTCCATTTGTTAGCATACTGTTTTAATATACGTAGATTGAAATGCAGTCACCAGAATGGAGAAATGTTACAATAATGTGTTTTTGAAAAACTACCTTATTTATAAAGATGATGTACAGGTGAGAAGTTTTGAAATATCTTCATTATGCAAAAAAAAAAAAAGTTGTTTTATTTGTATATGAAAAGATGCACATTTTAATCCAGATTGCATTATATCACTCTTCATGGAATAAAAAGTACCTTTTGGCAGTTTTAAATCAAAGCCCAGAGAAACTTCTCTGTTTTTCTTCCCCTTCTCCTCTTCCCCACCCCATCCTCAAGCATCTCCTTTTTTTCCTGAAAATCTTAAGTGAATCCTGTGCTTTTCTATTCTTCTTTTGGATTATTAGTCTATATGCAAAATATTGACCAAACTCCCATGCATCTTTGAAAAGCATAGGTTCACCTTGTCCCGTGGCACCTAGTCCCATATTTTGATGATTCTGTTTGAAGTGAAAAGACTTTAAATTCTCACCTTAGTGGTTTAGTGTTTACGTCTAAAACTATTGAACTTTGCACCTTTTAAATACTGTCACTTTTATAACTTGATGAAACACTGACTATATGTAAAGTAGTTGTTAGTGTATGTTAATACACTTGCCTGGGCAGGAAAAACATTTAAAAAGAAACAGTAATAAATGCTAACCATGCTTCAAGCCTGTACCAGGTGAGAGGGATGTTGCTGTAGCAGGAAAAATTTATACTTTGAACTTTTTTTGTGGAGGCAAGAGGATAGTTGCATATTATTTTGGTTGGACCATTTTCTCCTCTATCCAGCCTGGTTCTTGTTGGTGACTTGAGTTGAAGTAAAGCTCTTATCCCACAAACAGCCTCTTTTTATTTTTTTGCTTTCTGTTTAAGTATGCTGCGGACGCTCAATTCTGTGGCATTAGCCTGTTCATTTGTAAATGCATAGGATGTCCCAGCTTGTAGATATCATGCCAAGCACACCAAAAGCTACTGTAGGAAGAAAGTATCTATGGAGGGATGATTGAATAATTTAAACATATTTTTGAAACACAAATAGGGCAAAAGCAGTTTTTGAATGAAAGTATTTGGATCTGTCTGTTACCGTTTGAAAGTGTATCCCTCCCACAATGGAAGTTACATGGTTGTATGACAAAAAATGGACTAAGGGACAGGAATGAGTGGCATTCTCTTATTTTAAAGTATAAGTCAACTTTTGGTAACATTTCAAAAGAAGGGTAAAATATGCTTTTGTAGTCGCTGCATAGGCAGTGGACTCTATTATTTGAAAGATTTGTCGTACTATAGATTAGTGACAACTTTTGGGATACTGAACACTGATTTTTGGTTCCCAAGTTGATTGAAGGAGAGAAAATATATCCCTGACTAGGTAGGAAAACTACAAAAGGAGTTAAAAGTGTTTAAAATACCTTAATTAAAATTCTCAGTAAATTAAAAGGCATGGTTTTTTTGGGGGGGGGGTTTTGAGAGAGAGAAATTTTCTCCTGCTTCAAGAAGCTTTTTGGCCCCCCCCCCCCCC